ACACATGGGACAGTCCTACTGCCTGCCGGAGGGCGGCTCACCTACAGAGCTAAACCCACAGGGGTACGTTAAGCACGGGCCTGGAAGTGGGACTACACTGCCCTTACACCACCAGGCGCTGGACCCAGCGAGACAAGCAGCCATTCTGGGCTCCTGCGCCAGCTCCGAGATGGCTCCAGCAGAAGCACTGCACCCGAACGGCGCTGAGGGGCAGGAATCACACCCTGGGGCGCTGAAGTTTCCTGAAGAAACTGTTCAAAAAACTGAAAGACTGCATTATACCACCAGGGTAAGACAAGAGTGTTGCTCTGCAACTTTTAATTGCAAAAAACAGTTGCGAAGGCAACATTGCACTGAGCTGCTCACCATGGGAGCGCAGCGCTCACCCAGCACCACACACGTATGTGGCCATGCACGTGCTTCTGTTCACCAACACGTTGAGTTGGAATACCTTTTGTCTGCCTGCCACGGAGCCAACCGCGCCTCGGACAACCAGAGATGCCACAGAGCACTAACCATGGCTCCGTGGGCATTTCCAACACGCTTTAGACCCCGCCTGGAGCGCTCCTCACTGCCCCAGGGATGCAGGGAAGGGAGGCCTAAGTGGGGCATCGTGGTGCACACCCACGTTGAGGGGGGCTCTGTGTAAGAGCACCGGAAAGGAGACAGCCCCCTCCGAAGAGGACACTGACTGCAATCCCCACTGGGTGCTTGGGGACAAGGACACATCTGTCTGGAGGCTGAACACGTCAAGACACCTGGCTGCTGCGTGCTGGCGAACACCACTGGGGCCTGAACCGAGGCTCGTACTGTTCTCGTCCCGGTTCTTTACACCACAGCGGTGGAAGATGCTCACTTTCTGTCTCAGCTTGCCCAGGCCAGTCGTGGCACTCGGGGTCCCGACGCTCACCTGACCAGGGCGCCATTGGTCCGCAGAGCGCTTCCTGTGTGCCTGCAAACAGCTGGCCATCCCCAAGAGCGGCCACAGCGGCGGCCGAGGCTCAAGGCAGGGGGAGAGCAGCAGTCAGGAGCCTGGTCCCAACCCATGAGAGCAGCATCACCGCAGCCAGGCTCCGGCGGAGAGGAGATGCAACGCTGACGTGTCAGGAAGAGCCCCAAGCACAGCAAATCTGCCCACAGCACGGCAAAAACAGCTTTGTGCAGCGCGGCAGAGCTGAATCACGGTCCCAAATAGAAGAAGGCTCTCTTGTGAAACACCACGTACCCGGCAGAACCACTGAGTCACAGCTGACAAAGCGACAAATCCTGCTCGCCTTACTCAGACCTGCTCCCACGGAGCCGTATCGGGGGGTCTTTACATAAAGTATTTTAGAAGTGCGTTGGTGAAAACACAAACAACGCAGCTACCAGAGTGCCGGCAGCGCTGCCAGCTCTACGTGCCTTTCTTTGCTGGGGCAGAGATCTCACATAACAGGTAAACTCTTAACTCTGGCTAAAACCCAGTGGGGTTTAACCCACACCTCACCCACGTGCAGCAGAACATCTCTGCATCACTTCTCAGTGTTGTTAAAGAAATCCCATCCCAAACCCTGGGACCAGCAGCACCATTACCAGGGTAATGAGAACAGATTTCGGGGCTTCCTCTCAGTATGACTTTTTCTACCACGCTTTTTCTTCCTCACAAGTGCTTTCCTTGTACATCTGCTGTACTACAGCCAGTGGCCAGGCAGCTGTCACAGCTCACTGCTGTGGGCTCCTGTGTCAAGCTCAGGCCTCCTGCTTCTCTGTCCCCCCTGGCCGAGTGCAAGAGCTAGGCAGTGCCAAGAATTAGGAATAAATACCCAGGGAATATCAGATATCTGGCAGTGTAACAATGCTGAGGCAATGGAAACTAAAGAGTTTTATCTGTCTCCAGCCCCAAAGAAGTCTAACAAGATTTTGACAAAGAAGCCTAAAAAAAACTTAAAGAAAACAAAAAGATATTCCACTTCAAAGCTAGATAATCATGTGCTTTCATGGAAATGTTCTGCTAAGGGAGGGTTCCTGGTGAGAAACTTCATCTATAAGAGCAATTGCAAAGGCGAGGCGTTGGACCCGGGTTTCGCAGCATCGGGAACCACCTTCCAACACTCACAGCTACGGCGGGCCCCACGCTAGGCAGTTAGAGAGGCGTTCACCAAGTGCCCATGATCCCTGAATTAGCCATTCAACAGATCATCTTTTGCATTATTCAGCCTGCTCAGCGCAAATATTATTTGCAGAGCTATTTACTCCACGTCAACACAAGCGCTGAGGGCGGGGACGCATGGGCCAGGAGCTCTTCGGACACCACAGGCTCCCTGACACCCCTCTAAATAACAGACAGGTCGGCAGCGAAGGCAGCTGCCAGGTCAATCCGCGCCGGGCCATGGCGGGCCACGGCTCTGGCACTGCATGGCTTCACCACGCGGCCAGCCTGCGGCCAGCAGAGCCCGGACCGAGGGGCCAGCGCCTGCCTTCGGGCTACCCCGGGCACACAGCGATTGGGGCTGTGGGCCAGGACCTCCGCCCAGAGCCCACCTTCACCCTCTCCCTCCCTCTGGGGCCTCTCAGTTCTCCAAGAACCATCATGGAGAGCTGCCACAGAAAACAAAACGATGGTCATTGCTACTTCATGACGGGCTGCAGGCCAGTCAGACAGCCACGGCTCTCACCAACAGGACCCACAGAGCGATCCCGCCCGTTACTCAGGAGAACATCAGAGGCCTCCACCCCTCCTGGGGAGCCCGCAGGACCGCCGCTGGCCCCAGAGAAAGGCATACGGGGACACAGCCTCACCTCTGCACAGGGTGTGGGGGAACCCCTGCGACAGCCTGGAATTGGGGCACCCCCCACCACTGGGCCTGTGACACCCAAACACGACCCCGAGAGCTGCCACCCCCCGCTCCTGCAGGGAGGCCGCCACTCGCAGCCCCCCAGGCGGCGGCCACTGCAGCTCCCGCAGACACACCGGGGGGTTCAGCCGTGAAGGAGGATCCCGCTGCCTCTCCCTGGTGCCATGCCATGGCGGGTCCCACCCCAGAGCCCACACGGGACCGGGCCGCCCTGCCCGAGCACCGGCAGCACCCGCCACTCCCCGGCCTGCCGCACCCCCCAGCAAACGAGAAGTTACTTCTTTGAGATTTGTCACTCTGTTTTCAAAACGATGTCTCAAACTTCGGGGTACCAGAAGGTGTATCTGACTAATTAGAAGCAAATGTTTCTATTTCACTGCAGTGTACGTGATTATTTGATATATATTTCTAGACAGAATGGCTCACTCTCAAGCAACAAACCTTACACCACTTCAGATGTGGCTTTCCAGGCTTAGGCACATCTCCAGTATCGCTTCTGTTCAACCATGTTTCTTCCCGCTGTCCATCCACATGGACAACATGCTTTGGTTTCCAAAACATCTTAGGTAACTACCTCGAGAGTAGCATTTATTTAAAACACACTGATGCATGCACACACCCCCCTCTCAGCACAAAACTCATCAAATAGTGTCAGCAAGCACATTTTAATAGCGTGATACTGAAAAGTAATTTTACTACTAGCTAGAAAAGTCTGAAGACTGCAGAGGATATATTTAGATGCATATAAATAGACAACACTCAGTGATGTCTGGTCAAAGGAGTACAAATCTTCCCTAATGCATGGAATATGCCTGGCCCAGAACGCTTCAATAGCACTTAGACAAGCCTTTTCTATTTGGCTCAGGCTCTGCAGGCCTGTTAATAGCAAAGCTATTAGAACGATTTTCAGGACTGGTTGCTTGCTCAGAGAATATTCAAAAGATTGCTCTATAAAACTGAACCTGTTACCACATCTGAAAGCACAAGGCAATATTGATCAGCGATGGAAAGCCATTAGCTCTCCAGCATCTGAAACATCTCCACGTGCCCCTGTGGATGGCCGAGCCCTCCAGGCACCTCAGGGTGCTCCCCCTTCCCACCTGCAGGCACCCTCAGGCCAAGCCCATCCCTCCCCGTGCACCCGCCTCGGCCCCTCCTCACTCCCAGCCGCGGCGGCACACGCTAGGTCTGACGGGAGAAGATCTGGTTCCTTCTGCCACGCGGCTCTGCCACATCTCCAGTTCCCCATTCTGTCGCGCTCAGCCAGCTGCCCCTCACCCTTCCTCCTCCGAACGCGGCCTGTCACCCCTCACGCCTTTGGTGGCAAACAGGAACCTCTCCAGACAAGAGCTGCACAAAAACTCCAAACTGAGCCCTAGGAAACCCTCCTGAGCGGGGCTGCGCCACAGAGGCCAGCCCTGCTCCTGGCGCAAACGGCACAGGAGGGCTGAGCTGGATGGGGTGGGCTGGAGCTGCTCCGGCCGCTGCGCGTGCTTTGGTGAACAGGTCAACTAGCCCAGCTCTGGGCTTGTACTGGGCAGCTGAGATAGCCAGGGCTTGTGCCCGCTGCCTGCACTGCCACGGTGAGACCAGCAAGTGCTCCTTCTGGAAGCAGAAAGGCGAGCTCATACGCCAGGAGAAGCTTCTTAGCAAGGCTTGTGACTCGAGGCCTAACTGGCAAGCCCTGGCAGGGGTTCTGATAGAGTCTTACGCATTTAAATGCATTTATTATGCATTTAAACAAATGCATAATCCCTCGAGTACAACATATATTTAGAAACGCGGATTGGGAAGGTGTTTGGGCACTGAGAGCGCTCGGGCTCTGGGCAGAGCTGGACCCGCCGCCCGGATCGGCAGCGCAATGGCGGGGCCTCGCCCCGGCCCCGCCCGCACACCTGCCCCGCC